CCCCTTCTTGACCTTGTGTCAAGTAGGCCGCGTCTGTACTTTCTTCACATTGAGATGAAGTCGATCTGATTTTTAATGTAACCTGGTATCTGGTGAAATTGATGTTGCTTTGTGGATATTCTTGTGCTTGAACACACTTCCTGACTCCAATCACCAAATCGTTGAATGTGCACAAATCTGCAAACAGTTCTCCGTTCTCACTCATCATTTCACCAGGCGCTTCTCGACTCATGGTTAGCTCTCTTCCTGTGTTGTCTGCTCCCAGTTTGGCATTTTATGTCACCCTTTAGAATTTTGATATCGCCAACTGACGTCTTGTCCAGGGTTGATTGAAGTTGTCTGAAGACATCCTGCTTTTTCTCCTGCTCTGCATTATTTGTAGGTGCATAGCATTGTATGATTGTGACCTTCCTTCCTTTTGAGTTGAAGCTTGATGTCATGATCCTGCAAGAGGAGATTGGTTCCCATTGCATGAGGGAGAGCCTTCGATGCTATTGGGGACATCATGATAGCCACTTCGAAACTCAGTATATTCGCTCCTGGTTGTCATCTGCGTGATAATATCAGAAGGGATTATTGACTCCCCTCTATTTGACGGTTTGGAGAGTTCACTATCATTCCATCTGCTCTCATAGATTCCTCGCAGATTCCCAGCTTAGCACTTCTATGCTATATCTTCTCATCTCTTTTTCAATCTGGAGGGCCTTGCCAGCCAGCTTTAAAGGTTATTTGGACATTCCGTGTCACCATGTTAACTTTTGCTTTCATCGTGAGGAGAGAAGAGACATCGGCCAGTTGGCTTCCTGAGGGCTTTCACCAACTGGCGTCATTTCGCCTATCCGATTTAAGCGAGGAGTAATTTTGTTTTTATTTTTTATATTTTGTGCTTTGAAGTTTCTTTAGCGGTTGGATTTGTTTTCCGGGGTAGGGTTGCTAGGTTGCCCTATGTCCAACCTTCCCTCTTTGTGGGAGCTTAGAACCGGCTAGTAACTAGTGAACTAGTTAACCGGGCGAGGTTAATTAGGTGAGTTATGTATCTAAAATTCCACTACTATTCATCACGAAAAAGTTATTTGCTTCGTCACCATTTTCATATTAAAATATCCTTAGAACTCTTGATCTACTTAATTCCGAAATAAAGTGAGTCATATATACCAGAATCAATCTAACTTCTTTTCCGGATGAAATATTCTTAAATCACACTTATTGGGATCCGTATTCTACTTTTTTCATACTGTGGATTATAAATTCTTATTTGTAATTTAACTACTCCAATTTTTGAGTCTTTTTCAAAGCGATGAGTCAGTGCAGACTGGTGCTTCACACTTCTAAAAGCAGGCCATCTTCATGTTCGGTACAAAAATGTAACTGCACAACACTCAGATTTGATATGTTGCATATCTTGCATACAATAAATTTATGAAAACTGAACCTAAGAAGGTGCACAAATATAGGGCTGTTTTTAAGGATTTCAGGACATTAATCCATTTTATTTGTGGATACTTGTAATTTCCGGTTGTTTTACTGGATTAATAAGTCAACCTCTGTTGACATATTGGCTCCTATATGGATATCCGGATACTATCTAATTAATCATCATGCTATAATTTGCTTGGTGGTGGGTAGCAGAGTATTTCAACTCTCAATAAACAATCATAACTAATACTCACTGCAAAAGAGGCGGCCATCATGTTTCAGTGACCTAATGGATAAAGCTTTTTCAGTTGAAGCGACGGGTAATGGGTTCGAGTCCCAGCTGGAACTCCACTACTCATTGGAGTCCTGGTGCAGTATGGTGACGAGGTCCAAACTGAGTGAAACCCACGTTCTAGATTCCACTACTAGTCACCACCAAACAAATTAAAATATTTCATTTTGTTTATTTTTTGGATGGAAGAAGAATTTTCGACTTCTAATTAGAACTTTGATAGCCTTTTTTGTCTTCAGTGTGTTAGTCGTTACTGCCAAACCAACCATGACCTCTGCTTGAAATATATTTAATATGCCTTAAAGTAATGGTGTTAAATGTTCTCTCTGGAATATATATTATAGGTGAAGAATGTAGTAACTGGGTAAAAAGCTGTTTCAGATAGTTGAGGATCTTTTCAGACTAGTTATGACAACAGCTGTCAAGATAAGATCAGTTCCAAGACAGGAGTGTTGAGAACTCATGGAATAAACAAGGTTTGTGTATAGAATGTTCAGCTATACCATTAACCTAAGAGACGATCAGGGAAAATCTTATTTTGCACAAAGATTCTCAATGATATCTATTGAAACATATCAAAAGCATCAACAAAGACACCAAAAATTAACTTCTGTTTCACTTTCTGTCTTAGTATTTCAACCATAAGATGTCTTCTTTCAAACTTTAAGGTCATAAATCAATATATTTCTCGTAGTGCAACTCTTATGAGTAGCCAGTAACAAGAATCTAGCAAGGTAAATCAACTAATAGTTACTTAATTTTTATTCGTTTGACTACAAAACTACGTTGTCCTCATGATACAGGGTGGTCGGTTTTAACTATTAAATTCGCTTACAACGAAGAAAGTAAAGCGTATTACTGGTAATGAAATGCTGGAAAAACTTCCCAAATTCTTTTTGTACATGAATTTCGCAAGATTCGACTTTTTTTCATAAGAACAGTTTATTCGCAATCCCTTCAAGTAATTGCTTCTCTTCGAGGAATATTCTGAAGGAATTTTTCAGCGAGCTGAACACTTTAATTCAATGAAACTTTTTATTCACGATGGAATCCCTTGGCAAGCCTGTATGAAACAACCTTATCGAAAAAAATTAGTGAGCTTCATATCAACAAAGGACACATGGATTAAAACTTTATTTTTTGTGATTAGAATATAATCCTTGAAAGCCTGGTTCAAACTTTAAGTAGTGCTCATCCCTCATTAACTTCACTCTAGAAGTAGAGTCAAACTCGAAATCCCACTTTCTTGATGGCTAATTTAAAAGAAAATAAGACAGTTTACTTCAGAGGTTTACCTACAGAAATCTCAACTGTAACAGGAAATTTATTTGTTTTTAAAGTTGTGTCCTCTCAGGCAGAAAGAGGAAGCTTATCAGTTCATCCTCGTCAGGAATACGAGGAATATGGGCGAAAGATATCATCAATAGTGTGCTAGAAGGCTTACAAGAAAATTGACAACCGTTGAAATTTCTTTTCGATATGAATCTAAAGCCAGAAAGAATCATGAAACGTTTGTTTGTTGGTCTGGAAAAGGTTCTGCTGTTGGACCTTGAATTCAAGAGGAATAATGCGATAGATAATCTTTTGGAAGAAATTATCAAGATCCGTAAACAGAACGGTTTTCGCCACCAAACTTAGAATCATATTCTCTTGTCAGAAACTTATTCGTCAGTACGCAAAGCATAAGGTGGAACATAGGGCCCCATGAGTATGTATATGTTGTGTGTCATTTTACTTGCTCTTGTGAAACGGAATAAATCTACCGTACCATACTCCAACTTGTGAGATCCGCTCACGAACACTACCCAACCTGATTGTCAAGACGAGGATGGGAATGTCTCATCAGCTGTATAACAGAGCATGAATTAAACTCAGGATAAGGCTGCTTCTGATAAATCGAAGGAAAATCTGAACAAAGTACAAACAACCTACTCAAAATTAGCATCACTGAAGCATAAACAATTCAAATGTTCAAACCATCATTATGCATTCCAGGCAAGTATGTACAACTACCTTCTTTGCCACCACAGTTGTATGAAATCGATCAGTCTAGATGATTTTCTTATGGAGTCATTTTATTCTTTTCTGTGATTACTTTGTCCATTTCCCCATTTTAAAAGCCTATAAACCTCAACTAATGTTCCTTTGCCATGCGATTTATATTAACCTTTGACTGGAGATTACTCGGGAAAGCCCTATCGTTCCTATTGTACAGCTAAGAGAATAATTTCACCGAAAAATAATTTTCTTCACTGCAATCGTCTTTTCTTTTTTCCTATGGTCGGATAGGTCTGTTTTCATTTTTCAATGAAACTTGCGAAAATAGAGGTATCAAGGCGTGCATGCAAGAGCCCATATACCAATAGAGATCGATCGATCGGGTCGAACCAAAGACGGAATAATACAGGCAACGTCATATAAATTATACCCTGTGGCACAAGAATCGGCTACCGTCACTCGGTGGCCTAGTGGATAATGCTCTAACGTTCGAAGTGATTATTCCCGGCTTCCAATCTTAGTGACAAAAACATCGCTCACTGAGGGGTAGGTACATCCGCCTGACGACTCCTAAACCGGTTGAAACGCGCATCCGCGATTTCACTGCCGGCCGCTATCCTCCACTAGTATCAAAGTTCAAAATACGGGCAATACTGAGGCATCCGCACAGGAGCGCATATGCCAACAGAGAATGATGAAGTGGATCCAGTCAACGAAGGGAACAATACAAACAGCATCATGAAAGTAGAAAGAGATTTTGTTCTTTGCTTCTTTTCTTGAATGCTTTGGACAAGGGGGCATGTAGCATATATGATGTTATTGGCTTTAAAAGAAGCGAGAAAGCACTGAACACACACCTGTACAATCTTGTTTACTGTCCCACTCTGTTACTACATTAGATAAAGAATTTTCAAGAGGGAATGACAATTTGTGATCTGATGACATTGGCTGCACTTTTATTCCTCATTATGAAAATTTTTATTTAGCAAATAGGTTAGGATTTTGCAGTTTGCCCGATCTTTTACATACTTTTACCGCTTAAAAATCTATTTTACAAGTAAATTTTGACTTCTGTAGGAACTGAATGGATAACATATAGCCTCTTAATTAAGCTCTATCGGGCCCTATTTCCATACACGAATTATTTCAGGCATGCTGCTTATGAGCAGATTGTTGACTAGCAGTGTCAGTTATTTTTAAGGTTGATTTGATTTTATGCCATTCTGGTTATTTTTTTTTGTAAATTAAACAATTTATATGTTCTCTTTTATCGTGTCTTTTCTTTTCATAACAGGAAGTTGTCAGTATACTTTCCAGAGACTTGAAACGGATCCCGTCACCAGATGCAAATTAGTCTATTCTTGGAAAATTTGTTTAAATCAGTTGGACGAACAATTAAAAAAAGCCGCCAACATTAAAATCAATAGCAAGAATTTATTTAAAGAGATAACAAATCAAGTATGTATTGTATTTTGTCTCTATTTGATTAACAATCTTTGTGTTTCTTAATTTCAATATTGACCATTTATCCCAGGCTACTAAAGTGTACAAACTTCCTATTGTCAAATTGCGTATTCTTGTTGTTTCAAACAAGTTTTCTTTTTAAACAATTGACTTGGAACCTGAAATCCATTCAGATAAATAGACGACTAATAGCTACCTACAGAAACTTTGTGAATCTTCCTCAATGAAACTCACTGAATTCATTTTTAGCCTGATTAGTCATCTTTCTTATTCTTGTGGTATTCCTCAGAACCAGAAATCTCACTGCTTTTCAGTCCTGGTCCCAACAGATTTAGAATTTTGAAAGACTCAGTCATTCATGACCCTTAAAGATTTTGATTTACCTTTTGGAGCATAGCTGTGTATACTAGGATTATATGTACTGTCACCTTATATAAACTATTATTGCTGTTGAACATTTCGTTGATTTCAGGGGAGTACTCAACGTGGGCAAAGAATATGATTCAGTCGTTGAATGTGCTAGAATAAAGTTAATGGTAACGAAATACTAGTTCACTAATCACTGTTTCAAATCTTGTCACTAGCCAGATTTCTTTTCAACTTTCAACATCATCTGATTACACTAAGACCAGTTTGCCAAGCTGAGGTTATCTCACAGAATCTTATCGACTATCATGATTATAAACATTCTCATTACATCATCAGTGGTGCATCTGTCGGTAGTCACGATGAATGGCATGATCTCATAAACTTATTATTGATTTACTGAGTGAAATACGCATAACACATGGCGAGTAGAATTAGAAACGATTTACTTCACTGGGAGCCTACCTAACACTATCATCTTAAAAACTGAAATCAAGAGAATGGATATACACTCCGTCTGTAGTTAGAACTACTCTTCAGAAATTGACTGCTGTATGTTTTGGCATAAGCTGCTAGCGAAATATTATGTGAAGTAATCTTCCCATTCTGTTTAAACGAATCTGCTATTCAAGTAGATAGGCTTCATCACTTGACCATTATAAAAGTACTGATTAAGGGGCAATCACAAATTCATAAAAAAGACTTCATTAAATACTGAGATAAATTTTCAAAGTCTAGAAACAAGAAAGGAAAAAAGGGATATACGTTTTAAAGCCCTTACACAGTTTCATCAGTTAAACTACAAATGTTGTCAATTTGTGATAGTCAGATGAATGATTTTCATAGATTAGAAGGAAACATATGATTTTGTTACCTGGAAATTGGGACTGTCAAATTTTGAAAGCTATCAAGTTTGTATTTAGTGCTTATTTTAAGCTCTTGCTCTGCATAGTAGACTTCTGAATTTAAGGGAACACCAACAAACACAAATGCGTTTTTGCTTTAACTGTTAAGATCAAAGAATTTTATGTGGTGTAGCCCAGCCTAACATTCTATATCTTTTGAAGTAAGTTGGAAAGAAGTTGGAAATATAAACTATTGGATTCCGATGCAGTTGCTTGATGATAACGTGGTGGCCATGGGACTTGAAGGCCCTGAGTGCGATCTCTGGTGGGGTCATGGGTGTACACGGCTGAGGATTCCCATACTAGGACAAAACAGCTGTCCAGTCCTCTCAGGTTTCCAATGTTTCTTCAACCGATATCAGTCCATGATGAATGCCAGCTTTTAAAATAAACCAAAATAACACCAGAAAAATACACTTTCACTAGATAAATTCACCGTCATTCCCATTCATTTTCGTACTATAAATCGTAAAGTTCAACTTTCTAGAAACTTCAGCTGTCGTGTGAAAATCTTAAGTTTGTAGAGCATATCTCACTGACTATTACCAGCAAGGACAGTGTTCACAGATAGAACTTTCAGTAGATTACATACGTATGTCAAGCGTTATTGCAACAATATATTTACTCTTACATCTTATTCCCCCTCTTAGCGTAAGCCGTATGCATAACACCTAGTAAGGATTTTTCACCTAACGACTTAATCTATGATGAGTTTATTATTTTCATCAAAAAAAGCTTACCTACCTTCATTAATGAATCGGTAACGAGTAATACAATAGCCCTTTCTTAATAACACATGCTACCTAGCATTATTCAGTGTCTATGGCGTTTAAGAACTAAATACAGCCCATCAGTTGTCAGTATCTGTTGAAAGTTTTGTTACTTTAGGCTTCATCTGATTATCAGAGTAACGTGACTGTGGTTGAGGGATTTTAAGTCAATATGCTTACGCTTTGAGTAACCTCCTGAATAACAGTTGCCGACAAATGGCAACTCAGCACACAAGCAGTTTAGCGTCCAGTCTAAGAACTTTGTTACTATGTTTTCAACCCCAGAAAGAGATTCATAGTAGGCACTTTTCATGCTTAAAAGTGAAACTGATCAACTATCAAATTCTTCATCCTAATTTTCGCCAATTCAACAGATGTTACTTTCGATAGAAAGCATGTCTCAAATGTTCACATCTTTACGCGAAGCCAACTGAATTACAATTCTTCACGCATCATTGGTTGTGTTTGATGATGAAGCTCCCAAATTTCTTAGAGCGAGATGCCGTCTCTAAGAGTAGAATATTCGTGAGCAGAAATAGATATTTTCAATTGACTTTGCAAAGCCGATTCACTTGTTGAGTCTACTGAGGTTCCAGACAGCTGACTTCAAATTCTTTTTCCGAAGGGTAAATAAAAAATACTGGTCAATAGTTTAAATCTTGATTAGTGCTCTCTGATTCTTAATGGTTCATAAGAAAAGACAGAAGACGATTGCAACGAAAAGAAATTTTCCTCTTCGGCGAGATCAATCATAAACATACGGTAGAAACGATAGAGCTTTCCCGAGTAATCTCCAGTCAAAGGTCAATATAAACTCCATGGCACGACAAAGTTAAGTATATGGGCGTTTAAAGTGAGGAAACAGATAAAATGATTACGAATTGAAATATAGTGGAGTCATTTTAGAGAACCATCTAAACTGATTGTTCTTATACAATGGCATTTGCAAAGAAGGCGGTTGTACATATTTCTTCGGAACGCATAATGATGGTTTGAACATTTGAGTTATTTATGCTTCAGTGATGTCCATCTGTCTTAGCCTCATTCCTTTCGATTAACTTGTTCGTACTTTGTACAAACTTTTGGAGAATTTATCTAGAGTAGTCATGTTCTGAGTTTACCTAGTGTTTTGTTAAGGAGCTGAAGATGTAATTCCACTCTCCTCATAATGGTTCTTTCTTTGAATGGTCTCAACTCATTGTATGAAACTTTTAGAAAAAATCATTTCCTTGGTAGAACCACTTTTACAATTTGTATTTCTGACAAACAGAGTCAGAAAACAGTCTGTTTTCTTCTTAAAGTGAAGATTTACAGTTCACATTGAGGGATGAAAACTGTCAAGTTTCTTTCCTTAACTAGGTACCAGCTAAATCTACTGGTTTGATAATAGTTATAAACTATCAATGATGCAGTATTAAAACTTGGAGAACAGTGAACAATTGTGATCTCACTTTTTATGAAAAACTTTATTTGGGATTTCATATTTTATTGCAAAGTTTTCTGTAACACTTTGTAGATTTTAATGATGAAAAGTCATTTGTTCAAAAATTCTACTGAAAATATTCTCCTATTCAATTATTTAAATCCAATATTTGAAATGTTATCTAAACACTGGTCACCGGAGGTAAACTCTAATCAATGCCAAAATAAACGTAGTAGTAACAGCATTAATAACAGTGATCAGGAGGAAATAATTTCCCAAATCAAGCTAGTTGATCAATTATCTTCTTGCTTTGAGCAATATCTAAGTAACCCATTGAATCTTCCCACTGATGGGTTAGTAATAATCTCCGATTTTTGGTTGAATGAATTACCATTAGAATCTTTGCTGATGAATACACTACTTATTGAGTTGGATAGAAGTGATTGTTTGTCTTACCGAAGACAAAGTTCATTTATTCAACGAAGTCATATTACGGCAACACTTAATTCTATCAAACAAGCAATTCTCCTGTTTCGAAGCAAGTCGGTACAGTCTTACCATTCAGTTGGTTAACTAGAGAATTCAGTGTGCAACTACTGTATTCACGTTTAACAGGTATGTTTAATTTTATATCTATTCTTATGTGTTTAAAATGATGCAAAAAGCTTAGGTAATGTGACAATCATCAGCATAGCTCATTTGGTGCTTTTAAGAACTGGGTTAACTCGCAGTTTGTTTTGTATATGTTGTTTTTGCATTGTGTTGTGTGTTACATCTATATGCTGCTCTGAAACCACTGATTCTAAATCCTAACATTCTTTTGTTCATCTTCAAAACATGACCAGAGTTCTCACTACTAGTCAACTTTAACGTTGTTGAGTAGTGACAATTTCATGATTATTTTTCCATTTTCATCTTGCACAAAGAATATACAAAAACAAAATAGCCAATAGCCTTACGCATAGAATAGATATGCTAATAACTAACAGCGTAATAAGTGGTTAACAGAAACAATTCACAAAATTTGGACAGGTATATTTTGTTACGAATAAGATGTTGATGTAACCATATATACCTCATTGTAGAAACTTATTCAAGCATGTAAACAACTTCAGAATCTGCCTATTATCAGTCCATCTGTCAGAAGTTCTTTAAGTCATCAGCTGTTGGTCTGAGCTATGTGTGGAGATATCAGTTAACTGACTGGGGTCGTTTAGGCGACGAAAATTATTGGTTATGGACTACATAATATGTCTTTGTCATTCATAAGAGAGCAGATGTAAACACTCTTTTGTATATTCGAAATTCTGAACATTTTTATTCATCATCTATTTCTGCTATCTTCTCTCATAAACTCTTAGCAACTTTTATATAGTTTGTTTTCGATCTGAGCTTTTTGTCATGTTAATGTGATGTATAACAACTCAAACTGATACGCTTCTATGCCACTGAATACTACAATCCACTTACCTTTCTCCTTTCACAATATTTCAATTGCCTCCGAAAAGTTATCAGTAAATACTGAGTTCTAGTCAAATTAAGAACAATGCATTTTACCAATAATTATGACAATTAGTTATTAAAGGTGACTTAATGAAATGATATATTCCTGATATCAATGGAACTTTTAATCTATTTTTACATTTTATAAATCATTACTCATCACTCCAATCAGAAGTAATAATTGCATGCTATTCTGGCATAAACTGTCATCAAGTTGGAAGTGTGTTTTGCTTAGAAGTATTAACATTCATGAAAAATAAGTTCAAAGTTCGCATTTAAAGTTCAACGCGAAATACTAAATATCACTATCTTATTTATTGGTGATATTTGGTAAAACTGTGAAACTTGAAGGACAGAATGTACTTGAAAAGAAATATCACAGAATGATCCTGTTTAGTATCAGGTAACTCATCAGCATAAAACATTAATTACTCAAGAAACTGGAACTTAAAAATTCACTTGCTTTGGAGGAACTCAAGTATAGACATGATATTCATCTGGTTAGTTTGGATATATTTTTCATCAAATATTCCAAATCAGTTAGCACTGAAAGCCTGTTTTATATAAAGAGGCTTTATGTATGTGATTTCTACCATGTTCCTTATGGTTTTAGGGAACTATGAAGCTGAGTTTCTAGTAGATCATCTCATCTTGGCAACTCAATCACTGATTTTCTTTTAAATTAACTGTTGAACGAGTCTCAAGTTAGCTCTACTCAGTCACTGCTAATGCTTGCTTGTTTCTAGGCTGTAAGCCTCTGAAATGTAATTGAAGTACGATGAAAACAGCAAACTGACTACCGTGACAGAAGAAATTATACCGTGCATAGATGAAGTAAAGAAATCCAGATCATTCTTTCTATGTAAACTAGTAAGATATGCAGCAGCACCAAGGTGAATTGAAGTTGCCTTTAAAATAAACTTTCAAAGTCAACCACATAGAATTGTTAGAAGAGAGTTATCCTAAAGCTCGATGTTCGTCACATATGCTTATTCGGTGACAGTTATCAATATTTTCGAACATACTGATAAAAGTGTACAGTCCTCTGTGAAATTATATTCTTGTTCACATGTGAAAAGACAGTAGCTGCTTATGCCATAAACGAATTCAATAAACCTCTTGCTACAACACTGCTTTTCATTTCATAAGAATATATTTCTATGACATTATTTTGGAGAGGATGATCAACGAGTGACATAAAAATTCCTCCTTTCTATTACTTCCCATTTGAAACTACAGGCCTATGAACACAATGTTGCAGATAAGAGAGGACAGGTTACCACAAAAAGTCAAATATCGAGAGTTAAACTATCATGTAATTTCAACAGATTCCTATTTTCTTCATATCCCACTGTCCTGTTGCAAAGCAGTACATTGCATATCGATTGGTACGGTACAAAATGTTGTCATGCTATGATTACCTATGTTTATCAAAATTCATAATGTACATCTTGACTTGTAATCTAGGTTATATGACATTTTAGTAGTTTGCATTCATAGTCACAGATGTGCAGGGTATGTATAAGTTGAAGTTGTGGTTGCAGTAAGTCTTTCCTGAAGAACGGTGTGAGAGTTAACTATCAAACTAACTTCTGTGTTTCAAATGAGCTTCTCAGATTAACGTCAACAAGCAAAAAACCTATGTTTTAAATCTTTCTCTGGCCTTTCATGTATTTAACATCACATCGATATAAATGCAACCATTCTATACTATTTTGACATTCGAAACTGATGATTATGCATATTCATGCTCGTATGCCTTGCTGAAAAATACAAAACACACAAAACCTGGATCTAGGTCTTTCAATTAATATCTGCTTTGTACCTAATAGGAACTAAAGTGCACTGTGATGGTGACTACACTGAAAACCTAGTCGACTGAATGCTATCAGAACTTAGAACTGACTACACAACAAGTCATTGCTTACTCTCTAGCATCCATAAATAGAATTAAAGGTGAAGAAGTATATAGATGCGATTATTTTACAAGGCTGTATTTGTAAAAACTTGATGAAACAAAGATAAAATGGATTTTATGATCATTTACATTAAGTATGCTCAACTTGTATTTTATTGGAAATTTATCACCAACTACTGTTATTTCAAGAGCTTATTTAAATTTAAAATTCAGAAATATCAGTGGACAGCTGTGTTACAACTAGACTAGACCTGTGGATCAAAAGAGTTAACCAGTTATCCGGTCATATCATGAGCCACTAAGTATCTGTAACAGTCAGTCTATCTCTAAGACGAGAATATTGGGAGATATATGACTAACTGTCATCAGTGATGAATAGTGGCTGGTAGTGAAATTCAGGATGCGCATTTCGTCCTAGTTGGACCTCGTCACCTTAATGCACCTGTCTCCTAGTGAGTGATGTGGCTAATCAGTTTGGTCTGATCAACGACGGATACGTACAAGCTGTAACATCAAGTAAACCGTACTATACCTGCTCACAAGGAGTGACTATTGGGACTTGGTGGTCTGGAGTTTGAAGCGATCGGTTCTAGGTTCGAGCCGTAGTAGGGAAAATATCGCTCACTGGAAGCCAAGTTGATCCAGCTGGCGACTCCTAAATGGGACGAAACACCACTCCTGGATCCCACTGCCAGCCACTGTTCACCTTTAATATCAAAAGTGAAAATAGAGGCACTATCGAGGCATTCTCATAGAGCCCATATGCCAATAGAGACTGATCACTTCGATCCAGTATAACAACCGAGAATTACAAGTATATCAACTAGTAACAATAACTAATACCTGTTGTACAAGAGATAGCTATCGTACCTCAGTGGTCTAGTAGGTAATGCTTTGGCATTTGAGGCGTTGGGTACGAGTTTGGAGTCTCTTTGGGGGAAACATAACTCACTGGGATGTAGGCGCGTCCTGGACTCCTCCACTAGCCACAACCAAGTATGTTATTGAGTTGTTTTTTATTCATTTTAAAATCCTCATACATTCGTATGGAAAAATGTTCAAAGTGTTTTATATAAAGTAGCAGTCTGTCGACTTAGATTCATGGATATGTATGCATTCCCGAAAAGATTAGCAAACTCCAAGCAATACATATATATATATATATATATATATATATATATATATCCTTTTAGGCGAGAAATTATTAGCAATAATTAGTTTCTGAATATAAAATAACAATAATAAATGAATTTTGACTGCATTATTATTTTAGGTCATCAGAAAAATGATGAGCAGTCAAGTGACAATCTTGAACAGGGTTCACAGCATAAGACGTCGAGAAAAGTGGATGTAACTCGTGGTGTTAGCCGTCATCCTTTGTTACGTGATATCGGCACTAAATTGCCTCCATTACAATTCTCTAAACAGGTAGATTACAATTAATTTTTTGCAGTAATGATTTTATCTAACAATTTGAACATTTTCCAGTAATTGAAACAACTAATGAACTGGGTCAGGAAACTAGTCACCGCATATTTTATCGTAGACAAAATAGGCAAGTAGGGTAGCAGGTACAACAAAGCATAACTAAAAAGATTAATCGATTCAAGTTACTCAATTAACAATAGCACAGAGAATATAATTTACAACGAGAAATGATGTAAAGACTTTGATGTGGTTCATTTACGAGTCACCTGTTTAAATTCAGTCTACAGGGAGCTATGAACTTTGGTTTTCATGTGATTTGGAACACATGATCATTGCGTATCTGTAACCCTGAGAAAACCAATGCTTTATTGAGGATTGAAACCTGTTCTAATTAACATCACAGATGCCTTACCACCAATCCGTTCAGACCGAGAATTTTCCCTATATTAATTGATTATCCGATCGTTATCAGAGTAGATTTCAAGTCTCGAGTACTTAGCGAAACGTATCACTCATTCTATCCCTGATTATCAAGTTGGTTTGACATAACAACAAATATTTATCCCAAACTGTGAACCACTGAAAACTGACCCAGTGGTTGGATGGTTAACGCGTTCGCCGTGAAACATGAAGGTTCTGTATCTGATCTCAAGCCGAGTTGTGGGTGCGTACTGCTGAGGAGTCCCATACTAGAACAAAACAGCTGTCCAGTGCTCCCAGATTTCCAATGGTTCCCCAAAGGATATCAGTCCATGGTGAATACTGCCTCTAAATTTATTCCATCTATTAAATTAACTTATGTATTTGGCAGGAATGAACTGGATAAGCAAAGATTAAAGTAATTTCAGTAGTTGACGTTTTGCATTTTGCAAACATTTAAATTACCCTCTAATGCATGCTGCAGATCGAAACGTGCCCCTAACTAAAGTACGGATGTTGAAGTGAATAATTTGTCAAGTATAATATGACTATTGACATTGTTAACCGTTTTTCGTGTATGTCTCTGCATTTGTTTAATTCGCCAACATTTTATTTACTTTTAGTTCTGTCAGCAATCATTTATTTCACACTTCTATAACCTTCATGCTTGGAATAATAGAGTGCAATCTAGGTAGTAAAATGTCTCGGTTGTATTGTGTTCTGTGATTTGAGTTGTTTAGTCATGAGCTTTCTTACTGGTTGATGAGTAAGAAATATGATAAGTAGCCGAAAGGTCAGAGGTCAAGCAGAGGGACAGCTAACAAGAAAATCTATGCAGTCGATGAGAGCAATCAAAAGATACAACTAACCACAAACAAGTTGATCAGGACAAGCTACTGAATCACTAAAGGAGAGATATTGACAACTCTGATGTCGTCTAGAAAGACGATGAAAACTCCACGATTGAACAGCCCAGCTCAATAAAACCCAATACCACAGAGATCATCCACCTGAGCTCCAAATATTCTCCAAAACAGTAAAATGTAACTGGCATGTAGTACGTAATTTGAGAATGAAACGTATGCAACAAAACTACTTCAGACCTGATGACTTCCACATTCTGAGCATCTGATACTGACTATCAAAGTCATAAACAAGACTATTCTGCCATCAGATCTATACTGCACAGCTGTTTTGTGAACCAAGTTAATTTGAAACTCACCTTGAATTCAACTTCTTATATATATGCATATATATATCAGATGGAGGACCATTAAAAGCCTGGGCGCCCTGAACAGCTGTTTCTTTCTAGTATGCGACTCCTCAGTAGTGCGCACCCACAATCCCGCCAGGTTTCTAACTCACGAACTTCGCGGCAACCACATTACCATAAGCCATGCCACAAAGTTCTAATGAGAAGCCGTCACTTGTGGGGTCAGCCAGTCGTAAGTGAAGCGGATGCCAAATGAAGACCTTGGACGATAGTTGGGCTATGTCGCAAATCGACAGAAGCAGGCAACTATGGGCTATTTAACTCTGAATCAGTGATTGAGCGTTGAGTGCTTTCACTTTGAGCCTGAAGGTCCTGATTCCGATTCTCGGCGGAGTTGTGGCTATTTGCTGCTGAGGAGTCCTAGACTAGGACGAGACGGGTCTCCAACCCCCCCCCCCCCATTTTCAATGGTTATCCAACTGGTGTCAGTCCGTGATGAATACTACCTTAAAAATAGAATCTCCATAATTTGGTGACAGTGTTTTATTGCAAAATTCATCTTGTCTTTTTATTTGTTAGCAAAATTCAGGATGTTTATTGGTTAGTACAACGTCTGTACGTTATCTGGTCGATCCATTTCTAGACACTGAAATACCTTCAGCTGATAGTACTATTAATACTTTTGGAAGAATAAACGGTAATAAAAATACTGAATCCAATGGAGATTTAGGTATAAAAGTTGAAAAATCAGTTAACATCAATTCGCTAAATGATCACTTTCAGTTATTGTTGAACAAACCAATATCACGTAGTCAGCAGTTCACTTCACGTTGGATTGGATTAATAGGTGATCGTGAATCAGGTGAAGTGCCGTCTAAAGAAGAGTTAGTAGTATTTCTAAGTGAAGGAGCAAGTGGCTTGTTCAGTTATACCACTGAGGGTTTCTTATCATATTTACCTCCAGCAGTATTTGTGAATTTATCTATCCCGAGTAAGTTACTTCTTGTTTTATAAATGTGTAGAAAGTTTCATTTATATTTTATTTTTTGTGATAATAACGTGTACCAATGGATCAACGCCATCCTTGGCGTGATCAAATCCTATCGTTACTCGCTACATCAACTGACATTGAGGACCCACCAACTTCTACATCTAGTAATTCCATATTATATTAGTCTTAACTACGTAAATAATGCTGCATCACTACGAGCTACATTGGATAGACTAATCTAATATGAAATTACACTCTGTCACGGTGTCCACATTCTATACTTACATTTTACCTCTAGTATCCAAAAATGAATGTATTTTTCAAATGTGTATAAGGTTTCAAAAACGAACTCTTCATATAAGTTGTCATTTTTCCTAATGAGTGTTCCAAAAAGTGACAGGATGTAGGTGGTACTAGCCAAAAATGCGGCAGAACTTGGGTTGTTACCTAATTATTTACTCCGTTAAACTAGAAACATTTGAATGAAGTTCACATACTGGACACAACGCTGAGAACACCACCTTATATTTGCATATCTTGAATATCATATTCCCAGGTAATCAAAGCTTTCCGGAAATAGTTCTTGTATTTGGAATCTACTGGATACTGTGCTATACACAAAGCTGCGATTTACCTCAGCAACCAAGTGTTTGTTTGTGCAATAAGCCCCATCTGTTGTATGACAACTAAGACTTTACAATGCTTTTCCAGACCTAGGTAGGTGGACAGAGTTTCAAGCATAAGAACCAGGTTCCTAGACTTATGAGTTAAAGATTCACTGAAGGTAAAATGACAGAAGCAACACAGAATGTGTGACATATCCCTAGCTGATTGAGGTTGAAGATGTTGGACACGGAAGAATGTCAGTAATTTCACTGCTAACCTTAGAGTCTGAATGACCTAGGCTTTACTTTAAGGAAGTTTGTACAGACATGCATACTTCTGGTAAGTCCCAGGATAGGCTGAGACAATCTTTTTATTACTCCTAGATTCTCAGTTCTTATTAGAGATGATTGGAACCACCTTCAAACCCAGTGTTAATTTATGTCAAATTGTTTATCTTTTACCCACAAGCTTTATATCATAAGTAATAATGTTTATGAACGGTCTGAATGTGAAATGGAATTATGCACTATCACTACCAGTTCTACTATTTCATGATTAAAATTTTATTATGGTTATTTTCAAGGCTATCAAGAGCATAGTTTAGTTCAGCAACTATTGGGCTTTTCATTATCTTGTATCAATCTTACCCTCCAGGTTTCTTTCTTCATTTTTTCTCACTACAATTGATAAGAAACTGTAATAGTAGACTACGAGAATTCTCCATTTCCGTGTAAATCTTACGTTATCAATCAATTTGTCCCTAGTCTTGTTTAGAGACAATGTAAGGCAACAAGTCTAAACTTTTAGTTTACACCACACAAAGATAGAATGCTTCCTTTCCCCCAAACTACTTTTCATTTCAATCCCACATAACGCAAATGAAAAATTGAAGATTAGACCGATGAATCATTTATGTATGCTGTTATTTCACTTCTGTTTCATTTCGGTATTTCATTTACTTTTCTTTACATGAATGCCTGAATGGCGCTTTTAAACTAGAAAGTGTCGCGCAACATAAGTAAGTGTATCCCAGTGGAACAAAAGGATGGCCTTGATCAGTAAAATGTAGGTGTAATGCGATGATGAACATTTCGATAATGGTCAATCATAAATGGTCAATGTTAGGTTTAATAGAGCTGCAGCTGATATTTCTGTACATACGTTCACAGTGCAGGGTAAAATGTACAGTTTTCTTCTACACTTTTACAGCAAATTTTACTGCGAATATTTGCACCAATTCAAGCATTTTGAGCAAATAAGATGGAGTAAAGTTAACCACCTCTTGGCTACTATTGATTACTAGGCAGAGATAATGATTCTTGTACTTACTTCCATCACCAGTTTCTCTTTGCTGTCCCATGCATCGACAATGGAACACATTCTGGATTGGTTTGATCTACCATTATTACTGATCGTTTCTCAGTTATTTCGATAAAAAAAATTCTTGCTTACTGACGTAAGTGATAAACATATCCATGCTATTTGATCCGTTGTACACGCATATACAACTGAGATGGCCCCTGTAAACCTTTTGTCTCAATATTCCAACGAAGGAGGATATATAAACATTCAGACCATAGTTGTTACGAATGTTCTGAACAAAACTTATCCTCGAGTCAGATTTCATCATTATATGAGTAAGTTTTTATATAGTCCTAGAGTGCTTAGAAAATCAAAACATTTTCCTTAACTTTTAACTGTGTACGCCACAGCTTCTTCAGCAGAATACTTGGATTTTTATAAAGCATCAAAATATATACTGTTAAACAGTACATGTAGCAATTTCTGTGTTTAAGCCAATGGTTAGCTGATTTATTGTTCAGACTGTTTATTTCTAACTAGTTATCGTAAGTTCATGTGGCCCTTGTCATTTGTCATCAAAAACAATTCAATAATCAAGGTATCTGTATGTATATGCCATGGAAAGTGTGTGTCGTTCCTTGTTTATCTCATGAAAATATGAAACTCATGATAAAATCTTGTTATGATTTTCTAAACACGCTGGGATTAATGTCGTTGTTTGTATTATCCCACCACTGAGTGGACCGAATTGACCGGTCTCTATTGGCATATGGGCTCCTATGAGGATGCCTCGATATTGCCTGCATTTTGCTGATATGTTAATGATGGATAGTGGTTAGCAGCAGAATTTAGGACCGCTGGAAGTACCTGTTTCCTAGTGAGTGGTGTCGTGCCCACCAGGACTAGAGATTGGGACCAACCACTTCAAACACCACAGGGCTATCCACTAGACCACCGAGTTACAAAAGCCACTTCTTGTGAGGCGGGCATAGTTTTATTGTTGTTGCGTCCCTCACTGGGAGGCCGGTACATCCAGCTGATGAGTCCCAAATAGGACGAAACGCGCGTCCCAGATTCCGCTGCTAGTCCCTACCTTTCAGTAATACTCTGGGATTATATTTAGACTCACTTATATGATGAAGGAGAATGCAAATAACAGCACACATATAAAACAATACATATGATTTCGAACTTAATGACTGCTATTCATGGTTTAAAAAACAATCACTGAATTGATGGTTTGTGCGGATCGAATGATATAAAAGTAGCACTAATCACTGGCCGATATCAGTTGGAGGAAAAGTAGAAACCCCGAAGCAATGAGTGACTGTTTCCACCTAGTATAGGCCTCCTAGGTGGTGTGCACCCATGGTCCTGTGAAGGATCGAGTATGGGGCCTTCAAGTCTCACAGTCAGCACTTTGCCACTCACCCTGTGGGTTGGAATCCAGTGGTCAACTCATTCTGACTTCTGTCAGTTCACAGTATAGCTCAGCTACCATCAATTTCCACTGATTAGCATTTGTGCTTGCCGCAAGATCAGGGGGTTTTTGGCTTGATCTCTCACAGGGTTGTGCATAGGCTTTACTGAGGAGTTTCATAGTGTCCAATGCTCCAATGTTTCCACTGATTCTCCAGCTGGTGTCAGAATGACGAATATTACCCTCAAACACAATGATGATACAGGATTGTCCGAGGAGATCGGTTATACGTTTACGAACTCATTAATGTATCTTTGGTATTTTGCTTTTCATTATTTCCCTATGTTTTCCCTAACCAGACTTCTACGTGAAATGTTAGAATTCTTTCGTTTCAAACACGCTGAGATTTGTAAAAGTATAGCCTATATCTAGTTCGTCATGAAAATATAATACAGAGAGCATCTGGGATTTAGCCATTATTATTATTGTTATCATTTGTCCCTTGGGCTCCTAGTGGAACCTACGCCTTCAGTAGCGCGTCTCCATTGCACTCTGTTCTCTGCAGTCTTTTAAACCTGGCTCTATGTTTGCCCATAAGCTTTCATTTCTTCCTCACACGATCTCCTCGATATCACCCTTAGACACCCTTTAAACATTTAGAACTAAATAGTGTATCACATTACTTTATCGACCAACTTTTAGTAAAAATGCGTTACTCCAGAAACTGTTTTCACAAGTACTGTTTACTCTTGTTGAGAGAAAGTCATGACTAGAATAAGCCAACAGCAGCTGAGTTGCTGAAACAACGCATTTTAAGAAGACTGAAACAAAGTAGTTCATCTCGAGGTGAGATGTTGCTCATGCTGATGATTTATATGGTCTATGGAAGCCAAATGCGTAATTTATACTTGATTTCAAGGTAATATTCATCACAGACTGATATTAGTTAGCAAACCACTGAAAGTTGAGGATTACTAGACGGATATTTCGTCATAGTACGGGACTCCTCAGGATTGCACATCTACGACCCTCCGAGGAGTTGTATTTACTATGACAACCAAAATTACACAATCATTATCGCAAGATAGCTTGGCTTCGTGTTAGTCTAAATGAATGAAATAGAATTTAGTTTGCTTAGTATGTATTACGCTATCACCTTAGTTCTAGACACATTAAACAGTTTTCAAAAAGAACACGTTTTGCTCCACAATGTTTAAATGTTGACTTCTGGTACAGCTTATGTGACTGTTGGCAAACAGTGCATTTATCAATCCAACTGCTCCTGTGGATCTAGTTACATTGGGCGTACAATGAGGCAGTTCCATCGTCGAATTTCTGAGCATCACCTATCATGGTTGAACAAGGGACAAATTAGAACCATAAAAAGCTCCATACTTGCACACTTAGTTGACACAGGACATCAAGTGGTTACTGGAAAAGCCTTCAAGATTATCCATCAGATTCCAATTAAATTATCTCATGGATTACGCACTCAGTTACTTCACATACCAGAGGCAATTGCGTTCCACCTTGACAAATACATCTAACCTTTGTATCCAAAAGAAGTTTTTTAGACCACTTTCATTACCGTGACCAGCAATATGATGTGACTTCTAGGTTTACTTTGTACACCTCTTCCCCTTCTTGTTTCTATCAATATTCATTTTCCAATTTTAGTAACTCTATTGATTATTTACATCATGATGAAACATCACCACGTGATTGGTATATATATATATATATATATATATATATATATATATATATATATATATATATATATATATATATATATATATATATTGTAGGCACTGCTGACAAGGTAACCATTCCAATGGAAGATTTTTAATCAGCCTCTTATATAAGATATCTCTGTAACTGCAATGTTAGTATAACGTCCAAAATAAAGGGCTGAACTTGAGTAAAAAATCCAATCTGTTTATCTGTATTCAATGTGTCAATATATCGCCCATACATTGATTGAGAAAGTACCTTAATGTAGTGGGATAAATTAGACAGTGCTTATAAGAAATTAGAGAGAAAGAAACATAGAATGAAAGAAAGTCTCAGTGTCGAATAGGATTATCCGGAATGATAGAGGTAAGACAAACAGTCAACGTAGAATGTCGCATACAATATGATCAGCTCAACTTTATACACTTCACAACACACAAAGAAAAAGTGGGTCGAAAAAGTGATATCAGAGTCGACAGTGGTGTGTGGGAGCAAGAAGAAGTTAAAAAATAAGTTAGTGAAAATGTTCAAGCTTTAAGAGAAATCAAAAAGTGAATGCATCTGCACCATCCTGACTGATTTTCAGCCATTTCACTCGTCATCTGTATTCGTTGATTTATGGTATTAGAAGGAACTCAGACAGATAGTCTACACCATACATAGCACTTCATGCACAGGTGCTAATTCTTGGTCTGGCTATTTTTCTTCTAACTGAATTCTATTTCAGCTAACATTGCAAATCAACGTGGGTAGCTACTTGGCATGTGTAAGCCACCTCAGTCGTAGAAGGTTTACAACCTCATCAAATGACTTGCCTTTGTTACCTAGTAGCCTTCGCTTAACTTCAACATCATTCACAGGGTGATTTTATCAGTCAAACTGATCTTTCTGTGGTTTTCATACGAAGAATCCTCTACTTTACTATGCATAAGAATTTTCAGTGATCTGGACCAGTCTGGTGGAACTGTTCCTGGTGATCATACATTACCTAATATCTCCGTTACTTAGCTCAGTAATTTTCTAACTTAAACTTTTTAGACTCCTGTTGGCAAACCGTTGGCTCTGCTAATTTGCATTGTTTCAGACTTGAAACAACCTTCTCACATTCAAGGGGGCGGAAGACTTAACATTCACATCCCTTCCAGATTTGGGCTGCGTGTTGAGCAGCTGAAGTATGGTTGTAAGCTGGATGAACGTTTTTTCGAAGGGTTCCATGTAGCGTTCTAACTGTTTGTCCTTAGACATCATCAGAAACCCATTCTCTTCGACGATGATCTGACTAGCCACTGTCTTCTTCTTGTCAGTGTCCTGAAGGACGTCAATGATTATCGAGTATTACCTATTACTAATGCCTTCTCCATGTCTTTCGCTCTCGTCGCCCACCATTGCTCACCGGTTGTTGTTTATAGATTGTTTTTTGTTTACTGATCGCTCTGGAAACCGTTTACGATCTTCCTGTAACTGCTCACATATTTACAAATTCGAGGAAGTCATCTTAAGTCGCCAGGATAGGCAGTCATTTACTAGTCAGTATGGAGGCTAGAAATAGTCTTGGACGACGAACAACAAGTGAGCTCAGCTATTGTTTAGAAGAAAAATAACCAATCCTTAGAAGGGTGAGGACAAACAATGGAGAGGAATAATATGGATCCGTTTTGTTATTTCGGTGATTCTCATCAGCTGCTTACAACCTACATATAATATTCACAATAACAAATTACAATACAACATTAACACACTTTAATTCACCAAGTTCGATCAAAACGCAGCAACGACATAGCGAAGTAAGGAAGCTGACCGAAGCGAAATAATGTCAAAATAGTATGTAATGATGCTATAAATATAGATACTTTATTCGAAAGAAAATTCTGGTAAAATCAGGTGGGTATAGAGGAAACGAATACTGCAGAACTTAGAACAAGAAGTTGCGTGCGTCGGTGAGTAGAGATAAGTTAGCAGTATTCAGAAAACTAAATGTAATGAAACATAAAAAATTGAACTCAGTAGGTCAAAATTGGGGTTTAAAGTTACCTGGAAAAATCTGAAGACAGGATAACGTTGTAATCGAATAAGAAATGAGATTACCATAATAGTTGAAGACTGAAGATGGATTTCTTTGAACACATTTCATTCCACTCACTTCAGTGAAGTGAAGAAGATTTCTATTATTCTGTTTGTTAATTCTTCTGTACGATTCTAATACTGTAAGGAATATAGCAGCATGGAATTCCTGTGAAATTCAACACGTAAATAATTTAGCCTCATGAAAAGTCTTCCTTTACTTTAGATAAAGAATCACAAATCTCAGAATTATATTATATAATGATAATATTTTATGACTTAAGCAACTAGAAAAGACTACTACCTATGGGTCTTTAATACAACAATCCAGATTATTTTTCAGTAGCTGTTTTTCAATCAACAATATATTTTGTTTTAATAACCTGGTCACGTTTTTCTTTTTCAATAGATTGTCACTTTATTTGTTTCCTGGATAAAGTTTACACCAGAACTAGTCGTCTCAGGCAGATTAGAATAAATGCACATAAAACGTAAGTTCTTACTAGACTACAATTTTCCAGCATCATCCCCTTCTGACTAACAATTTCTTCTCTTAATTGAAGCAATTAATCAGATTGTGATCGAAAGTTTCATTGTTGACTAACATTTCTATGTCATTTTGCTCAAGAACCATTTGCAAATTATGATTAACAACCACTGACTTCACCAGAACCTCTCCAGCTGATTTATTCCTTGACAGTTATTACTTATCGAAAACTTAAACTCGAATACTACCAGAATTCCTAGTTATTTTCCTAATCTATAGTCATTTGTGAAAATGTAATCTCCGTCCGTTTTTATATATGCCTACCGCTCAGCAGTAACTTTAAAACTGGGAATATAATTTCTAGTTCCTTCTCTTAACTCTGTGAATAACACTTTCCGCATATCTCTACATCCCACAATGTACATACGTCAAAGTTGATCAACTGGCTTGGTCACCGATATATTGTTACCCCTGGCATTCCTTTTGCGCATTAGTAATCTCTTATAAGTTTGCAGATTTGGTGTTCTAGAACAGTTTCATGATGCTCTTAGGTCGTCAAAAGAGAATTGAGCGATATTAAGCTTTGACAACATTTGTTGGACAATACGTGTCAACTTGTTACTGTAATTAGTAGCGTTTTTTATGGGATATCAGCAACGGAGTCCACCAGTTCATAGAATATTTTTTAACGCATCTCAGCGAAATTCACTTGTAACAAACACTTTTTAAAATGTAGTTTATAGATCCCTGACTTTCTCACGGTTACTGTGACCTTTGATGTCAGTGTAGGATTTTGTTTTCCGAAAATTCAGGGACCGTTAAGGTTTTGGAAGTCGTGTAGTAAATGTCATGAGCCCTCACACAATATATAAGACCCATTGCCTCCTGAGAGAATGTGCACAAGGTCATTGAGTGGATTTTGAAAACTTTGGACTTGATGCGATGTACTGAATTTATGGATTTATGATGATAATATCTAAAACTCATTTACTGATTATCTTTCATTTCAATGAGCAGTGCGTGATAACTTGCTAGACTGTCTTAATGAGATTATGGTTGATTTTACTGATTCAAAATGTTAATTAGGTTAGTGGAACAGGAGCTGGAACAACCATTAACTATGAGTGTCATTTCAACACTGACTGGGTTACGTTCGACGGTAGTTCTACAATGGTCTACACGTTTACACATCAATCAGTTTAGATTAGAAAAATTAATGAAATGTAAGTAATTGTTTATTTGTATTTAATTTTTTAATGTATTGAATCTTATTATGATAATTTACTGGGTTGTGGCTAGCAAAGGAATCCAGGACACGAGTTTCATCCCCTTTGGGACTCGTCGGCTGGATGAAATGCTTCTTTGGGATTCTTCTGCTAGCCACAACCAAATAAATTATCATTATGAATATTCGGGCAATATCGAGGAATCTGCATAACCATCCATATGACAACAGAGGTCGAACAATTCGATCCAGTATAACAATGGAGAATTAAAAACATCTCAACAAATAGTATTGAGTTTTGTTACAATAATTACGAACCATGGAACCATTCACTGCATGAAGTGGGTGGAGATATTCTTTTTCTTGGATGTTTTCACAAGAAAAAAAGGAAATACATTTTATCTTGACTGATATTCGGCAACGGAAATTACCCGCATCGTAGTGTGTTGGGGTCAAAAAAAGCACTTTAATGCAGAATCAATATCTATTAGATTTCATCAAGGCTGCTGATGGAAAACAGCCTTTTCTTACCTAAAATTATAAGTTATTAAACATAGTAATCCCCTATTGTTTCCTGATTGTTTCGAATCGACTGATATCCATTAATATGTATTCTCTTCCTACAAATTATTCCAGGCTACAATGAACTTTATTTTAACCTTTTTATAGATATCCAAACCAACCGGAGATATGATGCTTTGAAAAATCTTATTTCTTTGTTGCATTTAACCGTCACGTTTCAAATAAAATAGAACAAGCATACTGTATTCCATTGATAATTATAACCCAGAACATCAAATAAGAATACTGTAAAGAATCTTCCTAGGAATTCAAAAGCTACACCTCCAAATAAAGATTTAATAAGTGAAAAACAAACTTTAAAATTATGCGAAAAAAATCCGAAGTCAAAATACAGGATTTATCTGAATTATGACAGTGTAATAAGGAATAATAATAATGAATGACAAGATTACAAAATTCAAATCAGGAGGTTTATAGGAGTGTATTACACTGTCGAAGTCATTTGACAAGGGTGTCGATAAGAAGATAAGTAGAGAAGGGCTGTGTAGAATCTCAAACCACTGTTGAGAATGAAGAACTGGCGAAAGCCCGGAATAAATACAAGGAACAAAGACAAAGGCTCAAGAAGCGGATAGCATTCATGAAGAAGACTTGCTATGGTAAACTTTTGTCACTCAATGATCAAAAAAGGTAATACATAAAACAGACTATAACAAAACTTCCTGCACATTGATCAGTGTGAGGTAATTGAAAAAAAGGTTATTGCATATCACTACTCATTATTGATAAGTAGCAAAACATCGAAAGCAAAAAATGACAAAGAAAAGGCCACAAAAGATTACAAAAAATTTAACAACCATTCATGTCAGTATCTAGGGCTACACCATTCAGCACATTTTGATTATACATTGCATTGCTCGTTCACGATGTTCTAGCCAGGTGGCTCATGACCCATCAATACATGTAGGTACGATTCATCAAATACACGATTCACTCCTAATGGGTCAGTTGTTTTCTCATGTTAATCTCACATTCATATGTATTCAAAGAATTAGCGGTCGGTCTCTGTGGCTTTTCCGAAGATCACTGTAGTTGTCTTTGAAATAACCTGTAGTAACTTTTTAATTCCTATGTATCTTCATCTTCCTCTGCCAACTTGGTATCAATCTTTTCTTGTCCATATTCAATCAGACTACCTTTCCTTACTCTCAGTCCTACCAGATCATTATACTTTCCAGAACTTTTATAAAGATTTGAGATGGCTTGTAGTCAATTCTTGACACTTTAAGATAACTTTTCATGTCCATCCATAAGACGACCGGGCATTACACTTGACCATACGCGGATATTTCGCGTTCTTTTTTATTAATGTTAAGGTCCACTGAAGTGCTTCTTGTCACTTCCACTTTCCTAGGTAGAACATGAAACTTCTTCCTTACCATTACTTTCCTAGTATTTAAGCTTACTTGTATCTCAGCAGTCATTCGAAATGATAAAATACTGCCGAATGGTATTTTTTTGTGTTACAATCTTGTTGAGTGTTTCCAAGAAATCTAATCTGCTAAATTACAACACTTCGTTTGAAAAATGTCTAGGAACTTTCAGGTCAACTTCTTAAGGCACAAACTTCTTATATGGAACATTTGTCCCATATTTTCAGTTTATTGTTCCGTTCAGTGAATGCATGAGGCATATTATGTATAATACTTTCTGACTTTGGTGTTTCAGTGGAGATTAGAAAACTCATGTGAATATCAAGACACGTATCATACAGGCAACATGAGACCTTTTTCTTGAGAGTAAGAAATTATTTACAGTCCTTTTGTGAGTCAGCATTAACAGATTGAATAATAAACATCATCTGTGGTATGTTAAGGAATATGCTGACACTCTTTTATTCACATAAACTTGTTATGCATAGCTTTAATTGATAAATTATCGCTGCTTTTTTACACTGTCATTGATGGTTCACGAAAAATATCTGTGCAACCAAGATGATAACTCCTTTTCCTGTATCATATGGGCGAATTTCTTTAGTGTACGCTTGGTAAAGTGAAGTAGTTAGCTACTTGTCTCAGTGAACTGCAAGTAGGACAGCTGACTGACGAAAAGCATACTATCCATTCAGTGGATAGCTTAATGTAGTCAGTAGTTTATTCGCAATTTTCTCAGTGATACGGCTGAACTGGATCTCAATAGGATTGCATTTTCACTAATGACTAATGCAAATCTGAAAATGCACCTAACGTATTGTTAGCTCTTTTCCTAAGTTGTTTTTTTACGCTAAGGTAACGCTAATATACTTTTCAAACTTTCAATTTTATACTACTCAGTGCTATTAAGTAGTACAGTCGTTTTCCTATAATGTTACTTCTTCCACAACTTAACTGTTTATTCCATTCAATCGAGTCTTGTTCATCATTTAACATCTCTAGATATAAGTACCTTTTTGAGGTCTTGATGGTGTTGTGATTTCTTCCGTTGTTTTCTGATGTTCTATTTTAACTTGGACATTTGTTCATCCCCTGCCTTTACCTCATCGTGAGAGCATACGCCCGTCCATTTTATTTTCCCTTTTGGTTTGCTGCGAACACAGTTCTGCTGCTTTTATTGTTGACGCACTCTCTAGAAGGCGTTTTGATGGTAATTAACCTAGAGATACCCCATGATTCGAGGTTTTTAATTTGTTGTTCGTTGTTGGTTAATAATACAGAACCGTATTTCAGACAAATCCTGAATTTAGGATTTTGCGCGTCACTCCAGCATTTGGTTTATAGTTGGAGAATCGCTCTGGCTGCGGATTTCTTGGAAAGGAATTCGGTCGTTTATTGATTTGTTTTTCCTTGTATCATATTTATTTTTTCTTTCTCTAGAAAACCAGCCAGGTTTCAGACCTGGATGAGGCTGAATCGACCTTATTTTTACCCTCCGACAGATTCCGGAACACATGCATACCTATTAGCCGGTGGCCGACACTTACCATTTTTCTCGGCCTGAAGTTGGGACCTGACTCCGCCGACTGAGAGGTGTTTTGACAGTGTCTGACTATGAAGGGAGTACCAAGAAAGTATATGACGCTAATCAAAGTTCTTTGCTCGAACTCTTGCAGCTGTGTAAGAGCTTACAGATAGTTGTCTTATGAATTGACGACAACTACTGGTGTCCGCCAAGTATGGTCGACTATCACCGTTCATACCAGTTTCGTTATTGACGTACTGATGTACACAGGGTCTAACCTATTTTCCAGAGGTTATCTGGCTGACTTAAAGTATGCAGACGATATTATCCTACTAGGTGAAGACACTGACAAAATGCAGTTATGGTCTTCTGAACGGAAATCTGAGTATGTTTAGTCTGCATTTCGCTGCCACCTACCAAATGCAAGATGATGCTTCAGGATTAGTTTGCTGCAAGTACTCCCAATATAATGATAGGGAGTGGTGTTGGAATGTGTCGACCACTTCGCTTACTTAGGGAGCTGCATCAGTCCAAACGGGCTAGTTGCTGACTAAATCTCAACTCAGATATAGAGAACCCGTCTAGCATTTACCAACCTGCGTCATCTGTGACGTGGACTGGAAAATATCCGATTGTCTATCAAAGGACGAGTATACTGCGCTGCAGTCCGTCTAGCCCTATTGTACTGTTTTGAGACATGGCCGTTAAAAGTAGACGACATGAAATGGTTGCAAGGTTCTAATCACTGGTGTCTTCGAAACACTGCTGGTGAAGGGTATTAGGTGAGGCAGCCAAGTCAATTAATGACGTTGTGAACCTTAGTTGACTAAGATGACTTGAACATGCACTGTGCATCCCGAACCACCGTCACCTACGTTGACGTTCCATACTGGGAGAAGTTGGATTCGGTTAGAAAAGGGTTCGGGGTGGCCAGACCACAACCTGGCACCAGTCAGTGAAGTCTCCTGTTGTTGATCGGACCTGTGTGGGGAGATGTCGACTGCCTGGTTGGGGTCCTTGAGGGGAAAAGAATCAGCGTTTGCGGACTGTTAGTGTCAAGGCTGAAAATCGGTCACAGTGGCGTAGATGTATTCACTCCTTGACATCTTCAAAATCTTGAATATTTGCACTAACGGTTATCTACTTATTGTTTATTCCCTCACACAGCTTTATCTACTTTGATATTACTTTTTTTCTACCAACCTGTTCGTTGTAAACTATCGTGAAGTGCGTCAACTTGAGTCGATGCGCCTGTGTGTGAGTTTCTACGTTGGCTACTTCAGCAAGTCTTTTTTATGGTATGTGTTAACTTCTTTCTTACACCTTTTCACTTTTCGTGAAGTGAACTGATATACTTTTTTTCGAGGTTTCATGTTGTACCGTTTATCTATATGTTTATTCAGTCTTGTATATTTCATATAACTTGTTTGCATACGTGTGGATATTTGGACAATAACTTTTATATCCCCAACTTGATAATCGCTACATTCCTGATCACGTGACGTTTCCGAAACTTCGGAGTACAGTGAGTAGTTTCGAAAGACTCTGGGATTTGAAGCTTTCTTGATGCATCCGGACAGTTATATTACACACTAAAACAGCATTTAAGTGTAGTAAAGACAAAGTGCCACCCAGAAGGTTGAATATAGTTTAGGCATTTACAAGCAACACTACGGTCAAATGATAAGTATGAATTTCTCACTGTTTGAAGTTCATCGAAATGCCTCTCTTCTTCTCAGCTTAGGTTTACGTCTATTTATCCTTTCAAATTCCCCCAGATTTACTTGATCAAGTTTCTTCAATTGGACAATCTACCTTGCTGATCCAATGTGAACTTTTCAAGAAGGAATTAGATGACTACAAGAATTATTTAAAACAAATTGATGGAGTTAAAGATATTCAGTTGTCAGAGGGAAAAAAATCATCTGGCCAATTAGGCCATCCACAAGAGAAAAATAAGAGTATGCAAATGAAAGTAATGCCAACATTAGAACCATTCAATATGATTATTTATGGACTGCCAAATATTTCTTTTGCTTAAAATCAAACCGCTTACACCAGAATTTCGCTTTACTGGTCTTCAATACTGAACAACTGTTTTTTCAGGTTTACGTGGTGGTGAAAGTGGATTAGAATTTAAGAAAGTAAATATTCCATAGTTTAATATCTTTTTTCTACATAAAAGTACATCTTTCTATCGAAATTATCCAAAATATATATTGTTTTCTTCATTACAATTATGATTTTGACTTCAAGTCCAACTAAAGAGTACTTTCTTTCAAAAAACTGTCAAGGGACTTAACGGAACTTCGCAACTAGTGTAAGCTTGATTTATGAAAACATCGGGGGACACTAAATATTAGTTCTTGACCTGACATATGAAAGATAATCTACCTTCTGTAGGTAGATAGGACACTATAATCTCGATTTGAATTCAGGGACGGTACAAGAAGTTGTGTTGATAAATGCCAAAGTAGGAGAAAACAACTGTGTTGGCTCGTGCAGATGTTCAGCGCTTGTTTAGCTGATATTGATTGGTCGTGAAAACTATCTTTAAACTAGTCAAATCCACAAAGTCCTTACCTCAAATAATATGCTGGATAAATTTCATGTATTTCCTTTGGTTCGCCTAATAAACACTCAGTATTTCTGTGTAAATTCACCAGTATTGTGATATTTATAAGCATATGAGGACTTGGTTTATTGGTCAGTTACATAGACCTATAGGGTTTTTTAATCATGGGTAGAATGATGAAGAGTTTCATGGATTATTTCAACTTTTACTTTAGTTAGGTGGGTATTCTAGTGTATTTGAATAAAATTTGATGTTTGAAAATTATATTTTTCTAAGGTGCCAGTAGCTTTTCTTGGAAGGATGTGTTGGAAAGGAGTTCATAATCAGTACATTTTATCATAAGGAACATGATCAAGAAGGACTTTGAAGTATTCCATCCGGTTGTACCACTTGTCAACATCAATGTAAATCTTTGAGATTGAATAGGCTTCCTCAAGGCAAGACAAGCAGCTCGGTGATAAACTGAAGAGTAAATCGTATAAAGTTGTCTGTTTAATTTTCAGTATCTAGTTACTCACTTACCTATTAGATAATATTACAAATGTGATGGATACAAGCGGATCAGCACTAAGGGTTAAATCGAATAACGCTGGTTAACATCTGGTAACAGATTATTAAACGCTCAACTCCATTGTACCGTTTAATAAGGTAAAACGTTTTAAGGGATATTTGTTGATGACTTCTTAAGATACCAGTGAATTTGTGAATTAGGATCCTAGCTTAATAAACTCAATCAGCTCATGTGCCTATTAGCAAGAACCATGTTCTACCGAATGGTATCTTACGTTGTATAAACAGAAATGAACACTATTTTCGGATTAAAGTGGTATTTATCTGCTGTCTATATAGTGTTGACCTTCGAGGTCAGTCAAGTCGGGTGTTCTGGCCATTACTCACAAATGACGTGATATGAAATACTCATCATGTCGGGAATCGACAAAAGTTGAGCATATAAAACATCGGATCCCAATGGACGGGAAAATATTTCCTGTGAGACCTGAGAAGGTTCTGAGTTTGATGCTTCCGGGGGTTCAATACAGTTTTTCCTCAGGGTCGACATCATGCAGCGGCATGTCCGTGGTCATTATGCATTACCAGCACTTCAGTATTGGCTCTCATATGGGGCAGAATGACCATCCTGGGTTCTAGTGCTAGCTGCTAACTATCATTACTACCCAACTGAGATTACAGGCGTTACTGAGGTATCCAACCACCATCCCGCAGGCGAACAGTGACCGACCAATTTGATTCATTCAACTACCAGGAATTATAAGCCATAGCATCTTACCACTTTAGCTTTGCGACTGCTGTTTATGAAAAGTAGTGTTCCAGCAGAATATGGTATTATATTTCTCTCTTTGAAACGAAATAATCAGGGTAAATGTTTCATATGCACGTCAAACTGACAAGTAAAAGTAGATTCGCCAAACATATTTCAAGTGTTCTTCAAAGGCGCATTTCGAAATATTTTAACTGACAAAGAAGTATCTTTTACCGTAAGAAACAAAATGTAATCGGTTGATGAGTGGCTGTAAGTACGAGACTCCATCTTATGACTTTCGGTAAAAGACTTCTGACCATCCAACACCAATCATCATTCTTTCATTTGGTTTAATAATAGCACTATTAATGGACTGTGATTCTGTAGACGGTATTTCTCTGATAACGGTGACTCATTTTGATTTTTCTTGTGTAAATGTTGAAATAGTGTGTTATGCATACGCCTGTTCAAAAAATTATCATATATATGTGCTCAAACTTAAAATAACATACTCAGTGTGGGAATCTTTTTAAGATCACATTCAGACGTTAAACTAGCTAAAACCCTACTTTTTATATTTCAGTAGTAAATCAGAATTAAAATGTAATATTTCCCATGATTTACAAGAACTTACGCATGCATACATATGTTGCCGATACACTAGTATGTTTTCAGTTCAAGTCTAGAAACAGATGTAAATTGTTTGGTCATTCCTTCCAGCCCGCGGGTGGGAAATGTACACTGATGGAATGTATCCCACTGCTTGCCAGTTTATGATGAATTGTATTTTGAAAGAGATCATCAAAGGAGCATAAGATTATAATTTTTTAGAAACAGATTTCTATTTTCTTAGGTTATGTTTTATATTCTGACAATATATCTATGGTAGTAAGCCTTCTTCATTAAGAGACCAAGGGGGTTGTAATAGCTAAATGAAACAAACCATTCATAACACGCATTTATCACCAGAGCTTGGGGACATCACATACCAGACCCTCAAGTGGAATCCAAATGGGAAACTACAAGTTGGATGTTGGAGGGTGACATGGAGGAGATCGTGTAAGGAAAAAATGAAAGCTTATGGGTAGTCGTAGAACCGGGTTCAAAAGACTGCAGAGAACAGAGTGCAGTGGATACGTGCTACTGAAGCCCTATGTTCCACTAGGAACCCAAGGGACAAATAATAATTATCAGAGCTAAAAGTAGATCAGAGGAAATGATAAACTGTGCTATACTGAATGCGGAAGTGCATTGGTAAGAAGTGTTACTCATCTTGCGACTATAATAACCGCACTATTTTGTAACCGGAATGGTTTAAAACTACCCTGCAATTTCTGCCATTTAATCATGCAGTTTGACGTTTATGGGGATTTTACCAATTTCAAGGTAGTATTTATTCATCGTGGATTGACATAAGTCGGAGAACGACTGATAGTATATGGGCACTGGACAGCTATTTGCCTCCAGTATAGGACTTCTCAGCAGTACACATACTAGCCCACCACTGATGGGACTTTTTACCTTCAGGCCTCACGGGAAACACCTTAGCCACTCAGCCACCGAGCTGCAGACCAATGGTTCATAATTCCCTTCTGTAGATTCGCGATATAGCCCAACTATACACCAAGGTCTTGAGTTGGCATCCCCTCAACTCCCGACTGATTCAGTAGGACTTCGGGGAATGATTCATGGCAATGCATTCTCTGTGAGACATGAAGGTCCGGAGTTCGATCTCTGACGGTTACGTGGGTGTTTACTCTTCAGGAGTCCCATACTAGAGGGAAAGAGTTGTCTAGTGTTCCAAGGCTTTCAGTGGTTTGCCAGCTGTTGTCACTACCTTAAAAATAGAGTCTCTACAAACCTCAAAATACATTTCTCTATAGTGCTCACGAGTGACGTGCTTCGAGATGAATATCCAGAAATTTGAATGAGAAACCGTCACTAACTTTCAACCTCACACTTCATTTTTAGAACTAGGGACTTGAAACTGCTTTAAGATGACGAGTTTGACCCTGTGAAGAGAAGAGAACCAAGTTTCCAGTCCTCAATATGCACAAAGTAAACGCAAACCAGAAGCTGTTCTGTTTAGCGAGTATTCGGATAACGAAGGAGGTTTTGTTAAGGGATACCAGCAAGCACGAAACCTAGTTTCACTACCTGATTACCTTCAATAAACGAAGCTATCTCTGTATAATATTCTACATTAGCTTATGACTGAATTACTGATATGATGTTAACAAGTATAGACCACAACTATTCACTGAATTCTCGGACTATAATATGATCCGCAAACTTCAGTTTCCGAATGGTCTCATTCAGAAATTTCACAATTCGTGTCATGCGATGCTCATCCTACGCAGTTCTAATTCGTCTTAATAGCTGGCCAGGGAGGAGTTAGGAGTATTTCAAGAAATTAACTTTCCAGACTGAATCCTTCAGTGTACAACTCTCGTCAGTACAAATTTAATCGCATGTAATAATCATTCAGTACTTGTATCATTTCGATTCTCCTGGTGAATACTTGTTTTCAATGCAAATAATTTGTAGCTACTTATGTCAGTAGGTAGCATGTATTATGCAAACCTAAGAAAAGTGCACATCATCACATCCTATGCTTTTTTTCCAGCACTTGTCTGACTGACTTCAATTTAACAGGTCGAGACTAGTCAAATACTGATCTGGTATCCCTTCAACGATAGGATATGATTGGTTGAGTGATAGTTACGTATATAACAGGATGTACTGACTGATTATGAATAGAGTTAAAGATACTTCTAAATTATCTGATGACAGTTCACCGGGGAGGAAATTACAGAAATGACGAGTAAGAAACATCACTGGTTTTATAGGAGTCACCTGCATCTTCATTATCGACATGATTTGCAACAGTTTCATTAAGTACTTCTAACTGCATCGATCCAAAACTCCCTTCATTACAGCCACATCAAGATTAATGTACATTTCTATGAGAATGTTTCGTTCCCTCTCACTTGTCATCCGATAAGGAAATCTATAAGATGGTAATGCTTACTGAGACATAATATAATACTGAATGATTGTCGTACTTACTCTACCACATTGTTGATCCTAACGAAGCGAACTATATTCTGGTGACATCAACAATTTGTTATCTTATAGCAGCTATGACGCAGAGACTAAAAGTTATGATTCCAACTGGATATTCTTCGATGAATATCATCATATTTATGCCACAATTAGACAGTTGCGTGCACAACTGACTGTGTGAAGTGTGTTCAAATAGACCCCACAATATCCACATAATCTGGAAAATGTACATATTTTGTTATTATCTACTCTCCGAGGCTCGAAATGAACTACCACTGAGACAAGGCATGCTGCTTGGATGATGAATATGACTAATATTAATGTTAAGGTTTTGAGATTAGAAAAAAATGTTTTCTTTGCAACAATCAGTAAGATAAGCACTCTAAAAGCATTTGGTACAAGCTTTGCGGATCAGAAAGAAATCTTCTGAACTCTTGCCACAAAAAAGTTCTTTTTGAAGTAGATGTTGATAAAATTAATTAGGCAAGTAATGAAACTTTCATGAATAACATATCTCGATTTCAGGTTGGATTTCATCACGGGTTGACATAAGTTGAAGAAACGTGGAAACATTGATAACTGTTTCGTCCTATTACGGGACTCCTCAGCAGTGCGCACCCACGACCTCGCCAGGGACCGAACCCAGAACCCTCAGGTCCCACGGTGAGCGCGTTACCATCGAGCTACTGAGTCGAAATCCGGTGATCCATCTTTCTACTTCCATCAGTTCCTGACATATAGCACGACCTCCACCAATTTCGTCGTTGAGTACCTGTCCTTACGTTTGACTTGGTTGGCTCCACTGGTCACGACTTCTCATTAGAACTTCAAAAACCATCTCTCGAAGCTAGCCAATAATGAGCGCTAGGTTAATTCAATCTGGGACTTTATGAGTGCCCACTGCTGAGGAGTCCCATACTAGGACACAGCAGCTGTCCAGCGCTTCCAGGTTTCAAATCATCCTCCAGCTGATGTCAGTCCATGATGAATTCCAACCTGAAATCAATTTATAAATCCCCGTAAACCTCCAGACTGAATATAGTTCAGTGGTTGAAAAAGAACAAGTGATTGCTGTCTTCGTATTGAACTATAAATGCCTCTTCTAACGAAAGGTGATTAACTTAAATATACAGCTGAAATTTTAACATTATTCATTAGATCTTATTTGAAATTTGAAAAAAATTCTTTCAAAACATCTGACGTAATCTTCTAGAATGGATCTTTAATGTTTTGGTACCTGAAGAATGCTGATCACTAAGCAGTCGCAGTTCTCATAGCATTGAGTGAAATTTATCGGTTAATGACTTTCTAGTGTTTCAGATGGGCGAAGTGATTCGACGCAAGAGAATAGTTTCCCATACTAAATAGACTTTTATGCGGTGATAACTACAGAATGAACGATTTCTACCTATTGACTAGTTGATGTGAGTAATCCGGTAGCCTAAATGGAGTCTCTCATGTTCTCAAGCATGTGAACACAAGGTGTCTGACTGAAACAGTTAGTGGTATAGTACCCTAGATACACCTCACACACACATATGCCCAGCCCGAAGGTTTACAACTGACTCCACACAATAGGGTTCAGTAATACTAACTAAAAACTTGGAACAAATCTATTTTAAATATAATTCATTATTTTTATTAGATAATTTAAAAAAGATAAACAAAAATGCATATTTATCTAACCCTAGCATAAATTAGCGAAAAACTAACAAAAAACCAGTACAAAAATAGCCTATTTGCCTCAAAAAGTGAATCCTTGTAATATATATGAAAATATTGAACATAGAATACTTTGGAACTCTTTTGCTGAAGTAAATAAACTTGGAAAAAAATAAAAAATAAACGATGCTTTGTCAAAAATAAATCTATGTACATAAGAAATAGCACACAGCTAGATAAAATACTGTTGTGGAAAAGGGAATAAACATAGTGTTTATTTTCAGTTATCTATCCAAAAAACTAAGGTATCCACTATCCCTCATTGATGATTGATCGTATTCAGGCTCCTAGAATATACAGAAAGAGAGATTAAAAATGAATAGTGATGACGGTTACCAAAGTTTTTTGTGTAATAATTAAGCAAATGCCAACAAACTATTGAAACTGATAGAAGTCAGAATATTGTAAAGTGAAAGTAATTCTTATTATTATTCCTTCGTCTTCGTCTACATAATATCAATAAATCCGACAGTCTAAGTAATCATCGAACTGAAGAGGTAAAGTTGTCTTTAGAGGAAGAAGCACCAATCATTCGGCGATGTAAGTCATGAAGCTTGAAATCCTTGTTGCTCTCAAGGAATATAAATTTTTGTTATTACTATTTGTTTCGTCCAAACCTAGGATTCATCAATCTACCTAAAATCTGTGCAAGATCAGTGAGTGTATAGCAGTCAAAGTGAATTTTACTACTTTCTAGTTGTGTTTTTATTGCTATAATATGTGTACATTCATTTATTGCAATACTTAGACAATGCATCCTATCAGTATTGCTGCTAATGACTATAGCATGATAAGGAAATAGTTAATGTATACATCACTGTGTGATTGATTATTGCAAACACGCTGCTTTATACTGAGCGACGACTGAATGTGAAAGAAAAATCTGGACCGTTTACCAGCTTCTACTTTTTGTATTCAAATCATAAATGTGGCAGTTCAGTAGTACGTAGTGGACATCAATCAATCAGTCACAATAAATTCCCCAAGTCAAACATAAACCTTCACAAGAAGCGTAATATTTAGAAATAATCACAGACAAACAGTAAACTTGGTGCTTATTCCGATAAGCCCAATATTAAACCCAAAACAGCTATGCAATACACAATCAAACAACATAATGCTTACCATTTTCAACGAATTGGGTGTGGCATCCAACGTTACAGCTGTTGCACTGGGAACTGGATCAGTCTCCTGAAGTATATCCATCAACTGACGGATATATGTGATTGCATAACGAAGTGTTCTGATCTTTGTAAGCTTAGTATCCTTTGGTATTTCAGGCAGACATGATCGCAGACAACAAAATGCAACATTCAGTGTTCTAGTACGATTCTTATCTTGTTCACGTTGATGTTCCTTACGAACAATGGAACTCAATTTACTTGAATGACGACGAAGTTTTGAATTTTTGGGATTCTGCTATTTTTTTTAAACAAAAGGGTTAAGTTGGTTAGTAATTAACACTCAAAACAATCTAATTGTATTTCATATCACTTACCCCAATGTACATAATGACAACCCTTCACAAAAATAAGGCAACAAACCAACTAACTACCTGACTTCAAAAACAAAATCATTTATCCCTCCATACTACCATTACTCTATCTCTTAAACATGTAAGTTGTTTGTTCGATATTGAAATATTGGGCGACGCGACCTCAAATCTCGGGTGAGACACAATACCTCTCGGTGTTGCAGACACGTCTTAATGATGAGTACCAACAAACCCGGAACCAAGGTCCAGGACATCTTAATGGTTACTTCAATCTAACTGATATCCATCACAGTGCATCACGAAGCTAAGCCTCCTAGTTTAGTGACCACACTGTCAAATGACTGATAGAATTAGGTCAGCGTCTAGGACTACACAACATAAAGTTATTCTCCAATGACAATCAATAAACCACATAGTGACGCAGTATTAATTACTGATAACTCATCTTTTAAGGGTATATGACAAATGTACTAAAGTGTTTCTCAGCTATTTATTACTCTAATGTACCTTTTTAATATTATAGTTGGTAAAATTCTAAGCATTTATTGACTTTTAGAAATCCCAGTTCTCTCCAACTCTTCCAATGTAAATCATTGCTGCCTTTCGATAAAACGCTAGCGTTCATTCATCCCTCTTCATTATCTACGTACAGGTTGATGTATTAAGCTGTTGGACACACATTTTGTGAGGACTACTATTCACTGGATGATATGAAAGTTGAACTAGTTACTCACTGGTGGAAAATTGAGGGCTCTTGTCAGTAAGACATAGACCCCCGGAACAAAAACAAGAAGCCCTCTCATTTGTATTTCCAAGTAGATTTTCAGAAATTTGAAAGACCTACAATTATTCATCAACTCAGCTGCTGGGCAAAGAAGATGATTTAAGCACATTGAAGTTTTTCAATGTTTATCTTTTTGCTGAGAATCCAGAGATCTAAACACTCAAGTCTGATTTACTGATCCGAAAAGGAACATTTATCTGACTTCCATTCCCTTGTTGATATTGATTTTCAAACTTTGTCCTAGGTTGTAGTTATGCAACTTAAATTTTCTACATTTCGCCGACTTTTTAACCTTATTCCTCCTGCTCATTTCACAACGTACTGTTATATCTTACTGTGCAAACCAGTAGAGGTTTTTCTTTCACGCTTAAATAACTAAAACTAACTCCATATTCTCACTCTTTCCTTTTCGCAGCTTGGATATCATTTTCTAGAATAGCCATGAATGATGTTTAAAAGCTCTGAGAAGCTTCTTCAATTCCAATGGTTTCAACCACCCACTTTCTATTTCATTTTTGGCTACAATGAGTGCCTCTATACCAGTCTATCCTCAGATATGTGCATGCATCAAACTGATGGCGACATTAAAATTGATTCCTAGAGTAATTATTTGGGAAATGACCTTGAAATGAATGAATTCATATTACTCTGTTACAGTTGTTGTCATTTGATTCAAGCCTTTCCTCAGTGATCTGTATATTCATATGCGTCCATTTCCATAAATCTTAAAGTACTACAGATGAACTAGGTGATTAGTGAGAAAAATTACTTACCTTTAACTTCCCCCAAAAAACATTATGCTACATCATTGGTTGATTTTAGTTGTAATATGGTCCCAAGTATAAAAGTAATTTAGCTTACTTATGACTTAATGATTCTAGATTCCAACGTGCATAAAATCTTGAAGTTGTTTTCAGAACAACAGGATACTTGTTCCTTGCTATGTGGTGCTTTTTGAAGTTAACAAATAATGGCATCCTCAAAATTATATTTAGAACAACCATCATACAGCACAATTCACATCATCACGCAGTCATTGAACTGTGACAATAAACTCTGAAGCCTAAAATTACGTCATCTCCATTTATACAGCATTAACACACTCTAAATTATTCAGCACCATCAAGTCGACTGAAACTTTATTTGGAACTACTTAAAGTTCTACACTACAGTTATGCGTCACTAGATGCACGAAACTGTAGATTCCCTAGGACATAAACAGCACTCCGTATCATTGTATGGATATGCCTATGATATGTTTCCTAATGAAAGGAAATCCAATAGGTTAGGGGATATGGACTACCTGAGCCGACTGCATCACAAACAAGTATACATATAAGATAATTCACTTACATTATAAATATTAGGGGATTCTCAGGAAGTTTGCCGGTGACCTATTTCTGTACTGACTTCATAGCTGCATGTAGAAATCTGATGCGATGAGCTTCTGGTAAACGGCTTTACTAGTCTACTTTGGGTGTACATTGAAGGAAGATAATATGATTGATTATCATTCATTGTTCTACTTGTTTTAAGTGGCGTTGTTAATGATGGTTTTCCAGTATTGAAAGATGAAGCAATAAGGTGATGTTCGTCATTTCTTTCTTTGCACATAGACTGGTTCAGAAATTCTGGAGTACTTGTATGTGTATGATAAATGCCGCTATTCTCATTGCCACTGACATAACTGTATGCATCGTAATCGTCCGACTGGCGGTATACCGATGGGTTTACTCCATTCACAAGGGGAGAATTATTCATCTGAATCGATGATTCCATAGCTGCATAATGATTTTGATATTCTGAAAGTTTGTAAGTGAAGGGGATACATTGTTGCTGTTGTTGTTCCACAGCTGAAGACTGACTAGAAATCGATAAAGATGGTAAGAATGCTTCGATTATATCACTATCACTTCCATTAGCATTTGAAGAATAGAAATGCTTCTCAATTACTGATTCAAGGTAAGATTGATTCATTGACTTATCATGATGATATGGAATGTCATCAATACCCATTTTGTTTTACGACAAACAGTGAATATTTTGTCATAAAAACTGACCTATATTTATACCGAAATTCTCTTATTCTATCTCGTTTCTACCCCCTCCCTCCCTTTCTCTTCCCCTTTTTATTTACGTCTGTCATTCTTTAACTGAAAAGGTGTTTTCAATTTCACATACATGGTATCCTATCGCAGTTTACAGTGATTGGCTGATTTATGTTTTTCCCCTCACTTCCATCTTTTCTCATTCATTTTAAACTCACAAACAAACAGACTGCAAAATAAAACAGTTGAAATGATTAACTGTGGGAAAAGAAAACGAAGAAACCCAGAGATTTGGAATGCAATGCTGATGATATTCCTGTGACTGGTGCAACTTTCAAATTACTTTGATACTGATGCTGCTAAAAAAAGCTTTTTGATTGAAGTAATCGATAAACTTCAATGCATCATAATGATTGCATCATTTTAACTACTTCAAAATGAGTTTATACGTATGCGAATCATCCTGTTGGAGGTGTGATGGTGAACAATAGTGAGTGGGGAGGGGGCAAAGCGAAAGGAATTCTCACCTAAACAACAATGCTGTATTTTATTATTATTATTATTATTATTATTATTATTATGGAGTGATGGTGCGATCAAGGTGGATCATAACAATGGACACAAAACAATTAAGAACCGTTGAACATCGAAAAAAGATTGGTGATCTGTCAAATGAGAGCTATTTAAAACTTTGAAGTTGGATATGAATATCCTATTGTGATTAAATGAGATTTTTAAACCCAGTAACCAAAATAATAATATTATTATTATGACAAGGAGTCATCTCTTCTTTCAGTGATGACTACCGAGAATGCCATTGTGATGAAGTCAGTGATGAAGGTTTGATAATGTTGGCGTAGGTCTCTTATACTATTATGCTGATTGTTGTGAACGAGAAGAAACTGTCAGTTGATTGTAATGATGTCTTAGTGAGAATTTAAGTGGTGATAATGAGATCCGAGGATAGGAATTATCATTCATTACAACTGAGTACCAGGTTATTATTTTTTTGGTGCAGAAAAGTTATTCCTTTACTAAACATAGTCAACTCAAATTATCTGAGGAACTGAATACGCAATACCGCAACTCTCCATTACAACTAGCCAGAGTTCCATTAGGTGACCAAGGCACATCACATATGTTGAAAAGTACTGATGTATTTAGAAGTTAGTAAGGTAATCCAGTGCCATGCTTATCATGAGAACTGACAATTCTGAACTCCATCGTTTATAGGGTCACAGGGTCATAGAGCTCAGAAGTCTCGAACTAGGATGGAACAGCTATTTAGTACTCTCAGTTTACAATGGTTCTCCTATCAGTGCCAGAGATAAAAATTCTACTTTGAAGTGCTTTCTCTACAGATTGTTGTCTTTATTTGCTTGATCTAAGCGGAATTGTTGACCACCATAGTGACAGTACATTAAGGATTACTTTTCTTTCATTACATATGATACTTACTTATCCATGAAGTGATCTGTTGTGAGATATCTAGTGAAGTATGTACATTTCTTGATTGTTTTACTTCTGTCATACCAGACTGCTGTTCAAAAAAGTGAAGAATAAACAACTGAGATTCATTTTTATCAATCTTATTCACCTCGGATTTGAGTAAATATTAGTCCAGTCAAAAATAGTGTAATTACCAGGTTGGATTAGGAGATGAACTTCATTCGGCTTGCGAACAAGCTTTTAAAAACGCAATAACTGCAAGATCTTTTCAAATTTACCATATAACCATAGATAGCTGTTAATGAAAGTTGGTTTTTGCATGTTGTTTGATACTTTTAATCTCCCGTTGTTGTACTGGGTCGAATTCCCCGACCTCTGTTGGTAGATGGGTTCCCATGTAGATGCCTCGAAACTGCCTAATTACTAACAATGTTGATGTCTACGTGGTGCTTATCAGTGGACTCGAACCCACTACCCACTGCTTTAACCAGTGACCTATTGGATAACGTTTTGGCGTTTGAAGCTGTGTGTACTTGGGTCGAGTCTCAGTGGGAGCAGTATCACCCACTGGGGCGCAGGTGTACCCAGCTGATGAGTCTAAAACAGGATAAAACGCATTTTGAATTCCACTGCCAGCTACCAACCAGAAACCAGCTCCTATATGATTTTTTGTGACATCAGATGAGACAGCATGAAAGATAAACCAGTTACTTCATAATCCTTTTGACCTGTATATCTGTAAAGTTTGTGTGTTTAACTCTTGGAAAGTTGGTGTTTATCAAGGAATAAAATCAGTTGGAGGACCACTGAAAACCTAGAAGCACTGGATTACTGTTTCGTTATTACTCACGCGTAACCCTCCGGCTGTCGAACCCAAGACATCTGGTTCTGACCTAATGGCTCAATAGCAAGCCACTGGTGATAGAACCTGAATGCTATGGGTTCGACTCCCGCCAAGGTCGTAGGTGCTGACTACTGAGTAGTCCCATGCTAGGAAGAAACAACTATCCCGTGCTCATAAGTGTTCAATGCGTGATGAATGCCAACTTCAAACCAATAAATAGATTCTTACAAACTTCCAAATAGAATTTTTGAAACCAAACACTTCATTAAATTTATATTCTCACCGCAATTCCTAATGCCTATTTTACTTAGGTGGGAAGTAGTGAATCATAAACAGCTCAAGAAGATTCAGTGAGTCAACTTGAATGGTCAGACATTCCAATGAATTTCTTTAATTTTTTAGTTTTTTTACGGAGAATACAAATGCGAAATTAGATTTAAACAGTGAGTGGCTGTAACTTACATGCATACTAACAGAAATTATGGATCAAAATGATTTGTCACCAAGAATGACTGGCCTGCAGACTGAATGGAAGTCATATGATGTGCATCCCTAACAGGGCTTGACCGACTTTCTCCAACCTGTGCCATCTGTGGCGCCATCGTAGAGTGATTGTCTACTAGTGATTGAGTATACTGAGCTTCAGTTCACTATATTCTGCTATACGGCTGAAAAACATTCCCACTAAACGTAGAAGACATGTGAAAGCTTCAGGTGTTTGATCACCTTTGCCTTCGCAGCATAGTCCGTGTGACATGGTATCACCACATCGGTAATGCGGAAGTCGGATGTAGAGTTTCAGAGGCAGGGTTATGAACTTTAATCTCCTCAGGTGGTTATGACATACGCCCAGTCACCATCTACCTAGTCTCGCAATGTTACCTGGAGTAGATTCAGATTAGAAAACAAAGTTAGGGATGACGTGACCAAAACATCGTATCACTGTATGAAGTCCTTGTCTGTGGCAACTTGGAGTGTTATGTAGTAATTCACAGTCCTATGTTGATATTGACTGACTGAATAGAACTTGAAGCAGCTTTCCGTTCTTGTGTAAACTAAATTATCCTTGAGATGCTAATTAAAAAAAGTTAAGGTTCAATATTTTCAATTGAAATCATAAACTTATGTGTAAGTTACTTCTTGATATGTGCTGCTTTATGGAGTTAAAATACATACACCTATACCTTTCAGCGGATATGATCTTCTAAATTAGGCTTGACCCGCTATCACTAAATATTTTGCAGTCAACATCTAGTTGGTTTGAACTGCATGGTACATCCAAGAGGCTTTAATAACTGCTGAGGAAGTATTAGTAATAGCCGGCATATGCCGTTCCATATATGAGACTGATGGCTAGAATGACACTTGCATGAAAGTTTAGTTTGCAAGTGATCATCACGTTCAGCATACTAGCTGCAATAGACAAGGCTTCAAATAGTAAATTGAGAAGTGTTGTTACACTTGTATTTCTATGCAAAAATAACACTGGTTGATCCACCCTCTAAGCATAGTGGTTTACAGAAAGTGTTTGATAAAACTGGTAAAATGAATATAATATTAAGAAAGTGAAAGTGGTAAATAAGCGGTTTATAGGCACCTTTTTTAAATGTTGGACAGTTAAATATAAGCGAGAGTAAACCCTACTTCTCTTAGGTTTTCTGCTTATTAACAAGTGGCAGTAACTCACAGGTGAAACATCAGCGGTGCGATCCTGTATCTTGTAGCATTATAGTCTCTCAGCTTAATGGCAGGATAACATACCTTGTTGACAGAAGTTGGTTACCACTTAGGTGAGGACAGTATGACACCGGTTACAATCTAGAGACCAGTCCTTACAAGCAGTTTTTTCTAGTGTACAGAAGTTATAAAATATCTAGAGTTTAGTCATACATACTTCATTCTCAGTTTTATGAGTTACAGCTTCTACAACCGACTCTTTAAATGATATGTAGACATTTATCTGAAAATAACAGTACAATTAACAGATCATTGGTAATGACATCATGAAAACTTGCATTGGTGCTAAAAGGGTTGAAAGAACCAAATGATGACCATTTCAAACTTCTGAATGGTAGTGTTTTTCATCTGTTGCCATTCGTGTAAATGTTGTAACATATTACATAATGATGCGTAAGGCTATAAGTCAGGCTTAGTATGTTAGCATCTATGATACTGCTTCATTATTCATGCCTATTTAGGTAGATCAGTCGGGCAGTATCGAGGCATACGCTAAGGAACCCATCTGCCAACAGAGGTCGAGCAATTCGACCGTGTATAGCAATGGTAAATTACAAGTATCAAAAACAATGACTGATACACGTTGCACAAGAGATGACCACCTTGCCCCAGTGGTCTAGTAGATAACGCCTTGGCGTTTGAAGTGGTTAGTCTTGGGTTCGAGTCCCAGCGTGAACAACATCATTAACTGGAATGCAGTTGTATCCAGCTGATGAGTCTCAACTAGGACGAAATGCGCGCTCTGGATTCCACCGCTAGCCACCAAGAAGACTGCGAATCCAGCACCTAATGGTTGGTAGACAAGTGCTCGAATGAGGCAGGTTCCACCCGACTCGTATACGGTTGGGCATATGCTGTCATTTATGAAGCTTATTCTCATCCACGTGTTCCTGCTGTGGCCTTATAATGCGGTGTGAATCGCGTGATTACGGCATGTA